GAGTTGAAGATAAAGCTTTCATCAATATAGTTAGTGTGTATCAGTTGAAATATCCGAGAGTACTGTTCTTCCGGAAGTTCAGTGGCGTCACTATCGTTGTTGGTTGGTCCATTAGAACCTAGCATTTGATAAACTCTAGTTTTGATATTTTGAAGGGAGGCTGCCCGACGGAATAAGTTTTCCAGATTGTAGACGATTTCATCGATAAGTTTTATCCGGTACTGCAGCTTTACTTCTCTTATTACCTTTGTGGATGTGTTTCGCTAACTTGTTTGAATTGCCTGTACGCACTGTTGTTATCAGTTCTTTTGTATTTCACCCAGTAGTGCCTTTTGCGACTTAGCAATCGAAGAGTGCGGTTCTTGGTGACTGTAGGTTACTTGTAGGTTTTGGGGACCGCTGGAGGAACGAACAACTTTGTAGCGCATAAGATCGTGCACAGTAAGAAATCCCAATATGTGTCAATCTCAAGTTGAGGGTGAACTGCCTAATCCATCTGCTGTAGATTGTCCCGTAAAACTGTTGGTAGGGTATCTTAGCTTAGTTTGGTAGATGAAACTGGAAGCTATGACAGCATGACCGCTTTTACCAAAGGGAGCCAGTGTTGAGAGGTTGTTAGTTAGGAATTCTTTATTTGTAAATACGCAATATAAGCGCAACGGTGTTAAAGTGTCCCTTCAACGAGTTGCCGACTTGAAGTTTTCGGATAATTCCAGATCTTCGGTGGGGTTGGAGAACCGAGCTTTAGTAGAGTTGTCACCTCCAATGTACGTATGTTCAGCGAAGTTGGCTTAAGGAAGGTTGAAGTTTCCTAAAATCAGGATATGAGTATATCCGAGATGACTAGGGCACGATGAACCTTTCAGCATGCGATTGTTAAACTCGATGCCAGCAGTGAGATTCCTTTAGATGACTCCAACTAGACACTTCGGGGTGTTGGAAAAATTCATTGAGCGTCATATAGATGCTTCAAGGTTAATAAAATCTTGAGTGTACACTTGTGGTGCTATCAAGCATGAGAGCACGTACGGGTCTACTCCGCCACTCTGCATAGTGAGCTTATTGGTTGATAATAATCTTTCATGAGGTTTGTTAACAAGAAACTCGGATTTACTTAGATATCTCTGTTTACTAATCAATATTAATTATCTCTGCCAAGGTGTTTTGTCTTCAATATATTTAACCTGGAGATGCTACGGACATTCAGGGCATAACAAATTATTTGCCTGTAACACCTCTATGATGAAAGAATACCAGCTCAGTCAAATCAGAAGTCAAGGATGAACGAGTCCCAAGGGCATATATAGAAGGTTGACTATGTGTTGGAACGCGTTTAATCTAAGCCAGTTTGTAACCGAAAGAGAACGATGAAAATCACTCCGCAGCATTTTTGTTGAACGTTACTGTCATTTATTTGTTTCTTCTCCCTGTCATCTATTTTAATCTTTGTTCAGATCTCGTTTAACCACACCTTTTCTTCTTCCTCGTGTGAGCTTTTATTGTGTGATGTTGATTAAAGGCTTATCTTTTGTTACATAATTTTCCATTGCTTGTTGCCGCACTATTGACAGTAAGGTCGTGTTTGACCAAGCTCAAAGTCACGGCGTGATTCAGTATGTGGCTGTTGACTATTTGACTGTAGGCTTGGAGGGTTCCTGGAATCCCTGCAGATGGATATTTGATCTCATCTTGTTGGGAATATTTTTATTGATTCTCAGGTAACGAAACTTTTGGTATTTACTGCTTCATTTATTCTTTAGCGCTCTACTTTGCGCTAGAGAAACTTCTAACTTCATAGCACAGGCTGTACCGTTTAAGGAATTTTGTATTTTTTATATAATTTGTTCTATTTCTTGAATTCGAACAGTTTAAATCGAGCAAAGAGTTTGTGTATTGATATAATTTAATATGAGTATCTCAAAAACGCTTCGTACGTTATACAAAAGACCGTAGCCTGGCCTATTCAAATAAATTTTGGTTCTTCAGTCCTTCGTTCAAACCGGATACTGGCAGTTTGATCGTTACATGGTTAGTAGTTGGAAGGTATTTGCAAGAAGACCTACCCACTTATGGTCTGGGACGGAAGTGTAACTGAGCACTTGCAGATAAGGTGTGTCCAGTAAAACTGGTGAGGTCAAAATCAACGTCGAAGACTTACAAAATTTATTATTTTCGGGGTCTGTTTACCGCTACAACCTACAACAAACCTCCATGTAGTAGGTGAACTCAACTTTGACAATAAGAAATAGAAATCTATTTATTACTTTGTTATAGACAAATTAATATATTTGCGATATCTCAGTGAGTAGAAAAATTAAATTTTCTGACGTTTCGTGACTCAGAGTAAGCCACTTTTCCAGAGATTAAACAATCAAAGGGTTTGGTTACCTACTTAATGCTCAATTTATTCGAAATTATCAAGCCAAACCCTGATAATGATAACTACAAACTCGTTATTTATTACTTTGGTTTGTTTCATATACCGAGTTCCTTACCTGAGGAAGTCGGTGATCCGTGACTTTCATACGTTTCAGTTAGTAAAGAGAAATCTACACTTATCCCGTTCACAGCAGTACCAACCACTTGAAATTTTCTTCTCTTAGATGAAATTTAACTTTAAACAATGTACGTGGTTTATTTGAGTGAAAAGAACTGTGATATATATCAAATATGATAATCATTTTCCTTCTAATCTTTTTGTACTGTATGGATTTAGATTTTATGCCTTCGGTCAAGCTGAAGAGAATTTGTTTTCCATTTCGAGCACTCTTTAGACACCTCTGTTTTAAAACCATTTCAAGGTCTTAAACAAATACTGAAAACGGTTCAGATAGATCAGGAAGCAGGTTATCGAACGTTCTTCAAAAGACCCAAGATAAAGTAAGCTTTGTCAACCACACAATGCTGATGATGCAGTTTACCAGATCGTTACATGAAATGAACCCCAGGTTCTAACACTGTAGGGAAGAGTGTGATACAGCGATCACTCTGTTAATGTGAGGGTGGTCTGTCACTGTTATTCATCACTTACACCCCATAATCAGTCACTTTGATGGGGACATAGTTTCTGATAGTTCTATTTTAGGGTCAGTGCTGTGTCACTGATCCCTAGATAAATCATGAGGCAGTTAGTTTACTGAATGTCGAACGGTTCATAGACCTCCGTCAAGGTCAAGAACAAACGTGCATCAATTATTTCCACTCAATGGTCTGGTCAATGTGGCGGTGGTCGCAACTTCTGCATTGTGATCACACTTACTAATACACTTCTGTATTACCGTTCTTTGTATTATATGTTCTTCAAAGCAGCCATAGTACCTTGATGCGATGATTCACGTTAGGTTTGAAATCGAAGTTAGCTGTTGGTCAAACCATTTTCGACTAACTCAAGTAGATCCCCAATTATTGGACGCAGATCATATACGTTGGTGATATACATATCTAAATATTTCACTCAAGTCTTCTTCAAAGGTAGGGATAGTCGACAGACTTTAGTCTCTCTCCAAATCCTAAGACCATCTATACATAGCCGAGTTTTATAATCTATAACACTAGGTGGATCGTTAAGAAAAATGTGAAGAAAAATTGTTCAGTGATGGAAATTTTTAGTACTCCTGCATGCGTTTTAAAGTAGGTAAATCAGAATAAATTCCATAGTAGGCTAGCCCCACAAAATAATACCTTAGCCAATTCATTAGTATCCCATTATGTTGAGGTTAAGACAAAACAAGGTTATTGAATATGTTTCCTGCTTGTATGTGTGGGGGCATTACTTAAATTTTTAAGTCAGAGGATGATCTGCCTACATTAAAAAGCACTGGGAGATTGTGGTGAGAGAGGCGTTATGTACATCTGAACAGTTCTTTAGTGGGAAGTATTGTGGTGGTATTGGTTCTAACCACACGATCCTCAAAGCTGAACATGGCATCACTGTATGTTACGTAGGACGAGTCAGCGTAGACAATGGTGTGACTTTCACGTAAGATCATACAGATTAATTAATCACACCATGACGTGTCCTCAACTTTGAGATTGGCTTTATTATTATGGTATCAAAAAAGAAAGTGGTATTATTATACTACAACATGATTGTATACACAAATTCCAGTGTTTCAGCAAACGTTCGGCCTAAAGAAGCATGATGTCCGTCGATACCCTTGGCGGATTCAAAAAAGTGTGGAAAATAAAACAGTTCCGGAGAAAGCCAAAGAGGCCGAATATACAGAAACACCAAGATTGTGAAGAGGTGCACTAGAGACGACAAACAGAAATACGTGGAAGGAAAAGCAATGAGAGCGAAGCTGTAGGGTAATAAATAATATGTAACGTAACGGAAAAGAACGCCGAAAATCATTCTAAAACATTTCATTGAACAGTGCCGTTATTCATCCGTCGTGTACTTTAACCTTTATTCGGATCTCTTTTTAACCACACATTCTGTTCTTCAGTCTTCCCTGTCAGGACTTTCGTTATTTGGTCTTGGTTGTTACCTAATTTTGCTGTTACATGTTGCCTGACTACTGGCAATAAACTTTTGTTTGATTGAATTCAAGGTCAATGCGTGGCTCAATGTATGTCTGTTAACCTATAGCTGTCAGTTTGGACAAGTTACCGGAATCTTTGACCCCAACCTGTTGGGAACAGTTTCATTGATTCTCAGGCATCTTACTCTTGTTTGTTACCTATCCCTTTTGTTGTTTAGCACATTATTTTATGTTATAGAAACCCCTGACGGTATAGCTTAGGCTGTACCGCTTGATCTATTTTGTATTTTTGATATAAATGATTCTCTCTGTTAAATTTAATCCGTTTGCACTGAGCACAGAGTATGTGTTTTGATATAACTTAGCATGAGTCACTCAGTAAAAGCATTCAGTTGCAAATCATGTTACAAAAAAGGTACTACTATCGTTGATGACATTACTATCTTTATCTTTATAATCTATAGGTCTATCTTCATCTTCGTCATCATCATCATCATCATATACAACAATATTCCACTACTCTATTGGAACATCTTTATCTACAGATGATGAATCTTCTAATTCTATACCTGGTGTGAGTTGAGCTTGTACTTCTTCCCTGTCCATTACACCTTCTTCATGCATAGCAAAATCAGTATCGTAATCTTTATACCAAGCCGGAAGACGACGTGCTCTAGACATACGACAATTAATTGTATTGCTTTCGTTTAAAACACCAACACCACCTGTACTACCTAGAACTTTTATTAGTGAATCGAATCAAAATATCAACACTTACCTGAAGTGTATTCTTCATTGCCTTGTACTTTACGAGCGCTGGATTTTATAAGAGTAATAGTACGTCTAGTAACGTCTAAAAAGATCATATGACAATTGAATAAATGCGTAATATGCAAGATACAGTAAACTGAATATTTCATGCAATTGCTTCCCTTTTTGAATTTAAATAAAGCAAGAACAAATATTGGTGCAGAATAGTATGAATTCATATTATTTCGAGGTTTCCCGTCAGCTGCTTACAAACCAAAAGCGTGATAGAATATTTACATTGAGATAGAGTGAAAACAATTGACATAGACGAGTGTAAATAACTGGGTTACAATAATAATTATAAATAAATATATATGCAAGAACAGGTCAGAGGTCAAAAGAAATTAATTCAGGTTGGGTGGTGTAATAATGGAATTGAATAATCATAAGATAGATTACGTAATAATAATTAAATAAAATTTGAAAAGTTAAGATAATTTAGGAGAATCAGGTGGTGGAAATGTATGAATAATAATGTGGTTGAAGAATTATGTTATAGGGGAGGGGTATAGATATTTTAAAACAAATAAAAAGAATAAAATTTTGTAGGTAAGGATTCAGTAAAATATGCTGTCAAAATTTTTATTTCTTATATTCAGTAGGGGTTCTTATGTGTCTGGATGATAAATAAAAATCTAACGGGATTTAATGTAAATTATTCACCAAGTAAAAGTTTATCTCCTCGGTTTTGATGTACATTATTTGAGGGCTATTCATGTTACCGGACTGAGACTAAACTAACATAGGTTTTACAGAAAAAAATTTTGGATACACAGATATTGTAAGCTGTGGAGTTAGTCTTTCGAACTTACATTTGAACAGGATTTTTATATTGTAACATTCCTAGATTGATGGATTGTAAAGGAATACCAGTGAAAGTCAATATATAAAGCATATGAACAGACCTAGTGCAAAACCATATATAAGTTGAAGTGTTTAAATCTCATTTGAAAGAAAGGATAGGATATTAACAGAAATAAAAGTAGGATTAACAATAGTGCTATTAAAAAATACAGAACTAATTTGTAAAAGCAAAATAAGCGAGTGAATGGAAGAAAAAGACACCGACCCAAGAGAACGTATTAAATTTTTGATCGACTTCAAGTTATATTCCTTTAGTGTCTAACTACTGTTTCAATTGTTTGATAGGGAAGTGGTCAGAACATTTGCACCCTGAACGGCCCCATGCTGATAGCCAGTGATTGATACCATAAATCCGTCTAGCCACGTTTGACATTCTCTAATATACTTCTGTGCTAGTAAGTCAGAAGGACCAAATCATGTGATGACTGATATTATCTGTGTACCCCAGTACCCAAGTTTAGCTTAGTTTAGCTCTAGATTACACTTAAACACAAAGCCTGTGATACTACCTAGCTTTCAAAATCGAAGTATGTAGGTAATGTTTGAGCCTGATGCCCACTAGTTGAGATTTGAGTGATTCAAAAGCCCAACTACCATTCCGGTGGAATAAGAAATTTGTAACGCTTGACTAAGTCGATTAAGACTTACCACTTCATTAACCAATTTACCACTTTTACTTTGAACTGTTAGTCTAAACATGAGTCTAAACCTGATGTTTTGTCACAATGTCACACTTACACATGTAATGGTTTCACAACAGCTGTCATAAAATACTCCTATGGACTCTAACGCTCCTTGAAATATGCAACAAGTCCAAGACGATAACTAATCGTTGTCCATATAGAGGCTATTCACAAACTGACCGAGATAAACCTCGATTTCCTATACTGCACTCTGACCGTTGTAATTTCTCCATTAAGTTTCTTTTTGACCTTGTAACCCACAATTATAGCATTTAGCAATGCCAACAATGGTTGTTATTATCCGAGTTATGTAACCAGAGTAAACACGTGATGTCCGTGTGATCTGCAGACACAGACGGCATATATATCGGAGTGTTGTCATCGTGACATTGGATAAGTAAAAAAATAATAAGTATACGTGTGCAGCGGCGTATCTCTTCATTATATTTATATAATTTTGTTATCACTTATTTAGTAAACAACAAGTTCACAGCCGATAATGGCAGTTGTATAAATTATGAGAGGTAATGAAAAAAAATGCAAATAACCACAAAAACTAACTACGTAATAGACCTATGTTAACTTCCTCCACAAGGACTATTGGAGTTCAGTGGCTCACACAAGACACAAGAGCTAAGAACTCAAGTGATTTGTACTAGCTTACAATAAACACGTGATGTACTTGTAAAATCTTAAAATTCCCTTCAACAACTAAGACACAGATTACATATAACCCTCATTCATTGTTCCCGCCTTGGAAATCTAATGGTTTAAAGATAAAACACGAATAACTTGAGTAACTTTGAGAAACCAGATAGCGTGATAGTTTACGTTATTTAATATGTTATCACGGAAACCGGTATTTAGTTATGCACATCTTTCTTTGTAACCTTATGAATTTCAGCGCTACCCGTATAAATTGGATTCAATCATTCTGATCTTGACATTAGTTATCGTTGTCACTATATTGGCATGGAGCAAGTGAAGAATAGCCTAATTGGTTTGGTTGCTGGCATTAACGGTAGTTTGCCTAACTTCATTGATTTTTGTCGTAGGTGGATTTGCTTCAGTATATGTTGGACAACCATTAGATACTATTAAAGTCAAGATGCAAACGTTCCCGGAAGTTCACCCGTCAACATGGAAGTGTCTCCGAGTTACACTTGCGAAGGATGGAATCGCTCGCGGACTCTATGCAGGAACTGTCCCGTCACTTGTTGCAAATATTGCTGAAAATGCGGTGTTATTCTGTGCTCTTCCACCTTCTGAGCATCTAATAGCCGGTCTTTGTGGAGTGGATAATAGTCATCTCTCAGTACTACAGCATGCACTTGCCGGTAGTTTAGCTGCTTTTTGGTCGAGTTTAACTCTTTGCCCAACCGAATTAGTCAAGTGCAAAGTTCAGTCAATGAGAGAAATGACTGAGTTAGGACATATAAAGGTTGATGTCAAAAACTTGTGAGTGTATTCATGCGTCTCTGCCTGTTACAGTTTTTGTGTCACATAATTCTTCAAATAAGTAATGATAACTAGATAATAGACCGAATTCCACTAGAAAAAAGTTATAAAATTCCATCTTAAGTAAAATGGTAAATAAATTATATTAAGTTTATCGTATGAACACAACTTCTTATTTATTGTTTTACAAAAGGTTGTGTTAAGTTGCTAAATAAATCTAGTGGTTGGAGTTCTCCTTTTAGGTGATAAGAAATTTTTCGATTGCGGCCCATGTATTTTGTACATGACGTAATATCCTTTTATATAGCAAGCTGCAAAACTCAGTATTAAAGTATGTGTTTGTGTATGCAGCTTCGGATATCACTTCATATGGATAAATGGTACTGTCCGACCACTCATACCTAAGTAAGATTTGATTCTGCAACTGTTTGGTAATGCACTACCAACAAGTGAATAACCACCTTAGTCTATTAGAGGTAATCAATAATCTCATCTAAACTAACCTGACCGTGGTGAAAAGTAAATTATTGAGAATCAGACAATTATTTAAACTCAGAATTGCCGGTTTAAATTGTCACTTTTCAGTCGCACAGACAGAATAAAGTAATGGAAACAGTAAGACGCTGGAATAAATAAGAAGAGTAGGGCTTGGAAAAGAGATGCCTGGATGTAAAAAAAGGTCGAAATTTCAACTCATTTCTAATATTGTAATAGACTTCAAACCATGTAATCTGGATTTTAGCTATTAATACCTAAAGGACCATATCCAGCGAGTCTATACCTACCTATATTTCTTACGCCATATACATTAATTTAAGACTTAGTGACTTTTTTGGTGTATGTTTATAACCTTCACTCTAATACTATTTGATTCAGCATCACGTGTTGTGGTAGACTGTATTTTGAGTTGACCGTCTTAGTAGATGTTCCCATTATGCATGAACTATCCTTTCAGGAAGTTTGACAACTTCAGCTGCTAAACCTCGTCTGATTCACAGTGAAGTGGACTGACCAGAATTTCAGAAAATTATTTACATTTATGAAATCAAGACAGTCATCATAGAACTTAGCTTTCGGTCATTTTTCTGAAGATTTAAAGTCACTTTATTTACTTTGATTTAGTTATCTCTGTTGATCGTCGACAGGGACGATTTCGAATGCTGATAGAGACGTGAAGGTGGTTCCCACTCCCCGGTTGTCTACACCGTAGAAGAATATTTCTTCTTGAGAGACCCGAAAAGGAACCTGAATTAGTGGCGGCATCAGCGAATCGGGGGCGTGACGACACAACTCAAGAGACGACTGCTTGAGGTCAGTCACGCACGGCCTTTTTGTGCGAAGTTCCCGATGTGTTAGCTATTCACTTCAAAAGACCCTACCCCCCGGAGAAGAAAATCCGTGGGGTATGGTGAGGTGTGATAGCTATGTGGTTGATCTTTTCCGACACCTTCCTTTCGTTGTGAGAATGCAGCACTGTTGATGCTGCTGGTTGTCCGGGGGAAATTACTGCTGTTGCATCCCTCCACAATCAGCGGTACGACTTTGTCCTCGTGCCTTAAGTTACTGTTTTTAGTCTTACCGTTCAGCAATCAACCTACGTGGTAAGGTAAAGCCTAAAGAAATATGTATTCCAGCCAATATAGCTGGTTCGAGTCCTCACAATAGGCGATCCTAAAAAGCAGCTACAGTCGGGCTATGTATCTTTTGGATTGACTCTTCTAAATTTCAAGCAATGTATTTTGCTTCACTACTTACTTAATCGATACCTCGTACTGTTATATTTTGAAATTCTTATTAATCTATTTTACCTTTCCAGTAATCATGAACGTAGGTTCTCACACAACTGTTCATTGGTCTCATGTTAAATAAACCGTGGTAAACTTCTTAGTCATTTTTATTTTCGTGAACCAGATTTAATTTATCATTTTTATGTAATTAACTGATAAGGATATTTAGTGCCTTAACCAAATGCTAGTTTCCAGATCAGGTGGTTCTTCCTACTTAGAATGATAGCTATGGCATCATCCAACTATTTAGCGGATACAACTAGC